AAAAATTTAAATTCAAAAAGAAACTAATTATTACTTAAACTTACTAACTTTGTCCTAAAATGTCAAGTGGCCTATTGTGAGCTGTCACTTGACTAAATATGGATGCATTTTCTTCTTCTTAGATAGATTATGCAATGCAATTATAAATTTATTACCTTTTGTAGGTCATTTTCACAAATCAGGATTGATAACTGCTTTAAAGATTCAGGAACTAATAGCATATAATAGAAAAAATTATAAATAATTATTTGTAGAAAGAGAATTGATAATCTAAAGAAGATGCAGATAATTTGCTTTAGTGTGAAAAAAGAAGAAGATAATTTGAAAAGTTACGAGACATTACACGAAGAAAAGATCAAAAACAACAAAAGTCAATAAAAATTTTGAAAAGTTACAATATGATTCATATATATGATATCTTTAATTTTAATAGGATGGTAAAAACTAGAAACAAAAATGAAAAGAAAAAACTTAAATTAGTAAGGGATAATTTGGAGAATATAAATTTATGGTGAAGATAGTTTTGTCTTGAATAAATTAATTTTTTACTTCTACTTTTGCTTCTTGGAAGAAGGTAGAATTTTCTGCTTCTTCCCAAAGGCAGCAAAACTGCTTCTATTGTTGCTGGCAAAAAGTACTTTTCTGTATTGGCCAAACAACTCAAATTTTTTAAAAAGTACTTTTTGGGGAAAAAAAAAGTACTTTTGACCTGTGAAAAACTTGGCCAAACATGCTCTATAAGTCTACTACATGTTCCAATATCCAACAAAATATGAGTAAAGAAAACAGTGCCGCATGCATCTGATAAGAGACTTCTAATTTATGAATATTACTTTTACTTGTATCTATATGAACGTGTGTTGCACGTTAATAATAGCACGTGATGATTTAAACATTTATTTATATGAAGCAACAATAAAATTTGATTAATGAGATAAATTTTATGTATAATAATACAACAATCATCTAAATGCCGAAAAATATTATTAGAGCAGCATAATACATGAATTTAAAATAAAAGGACATTAACAAAACTTACACAAATGAACAATTTTGTCATGTTAGTTAGATAATTATATATTATAATTTAAAAGAATTTAATGCGATGGTATCTTAACGAATATTTTTTTTGTGGACAATATTTTTTTGTGTATGTCACTTCCTAATGCTTTGGTTACTCTGCCTTAGCCAAACCTCTTGTTGTCGATCTTGGTATCCCTATTGAAAGTGCAACAAACAATTATTTGTGCAAGAAAATATATTGCTTAAATATAGTCCAATATTTAGGATGTTTGTTCTTGTGCTTTATTTATTATATTTGCAAAACATAAACATACTAAAAATTATTTTCACACAAATTTAAAAGGATACTCCTTAGTTTCGAAAGACGAAAGTGGAATTCGGGGATAAGAATATACTTAGAAGCACATTGACCAGTATCATAATTTTTGCATGTATGGCGTTCTTGTCAAAACTTATATATATATATATCATCTGTGTGCTATTACATAAGCTATTCGGCGTATGTAAGTTTTTCAGTAGCATGACATGCATATTTTTCTTTAAAATCAACTTATATACAATGGAAGATCAATTTTAACTTAGTCTATTCTATGTACGGTGACACCAACATAGTTAAGAAATAATAAACTTGACAACAAACATATATGGCAGAAGACCATTTGGTATTAAAGTATTTAAGTATTCATCTTGGTAGTAATTATTGGTATCATTTTCTGCTGAGTCAAAAACAGAAAAGCATTTTATTTTTACTATAAAATTTTGCAATCAACATTTTATTTAGTTGATCAACATATTCATTTCTGCTAGCTAGATATTTTTTTTAATTCTATCATGTGATTTGTACAAATTGCGTTTTAATCTAATATAATAGAAATATTTCTCTAATTAAATGCACTACTATTACCATTGGGAATGATAACTAAGTGTTCAGAAAGAACCAAATCATCTTTTATTGAATGCTCTTATTTGTTTCCGACACGAAGCAAGAAGACACTGAATACTGGATTTGTTCTTAATTTATATTTCTTGTTTGTTGAATCTTTTTATTTGAGGCCAAAAGTATAACTTTGGCAAGCTCGCTTTTACAATCTCTGCTTTTGTTGATTTTGGAACTCCTGGTAATACTTGACATAAATTACCTCCAAAATCATTAATTTTCATCAAACGGTTCATTAATATCCAATATCTCTCTAGAACTCCGGGCAATTATTTTGATCGTTTGACACTTAGCCATAAGTGTTTCATCCCATATTATCAATATTATTTTCCTTATAAATTTAGCATCATTGCTCTGCTTTGATATATTTGTAATAGTTATTTAAGTTGTTTGAAGAGGTATATCAAATCTAATGTGAGTGGTCTCACAATAAAATCGTTATTTATATATCATTTGCTATTAGTACTAACAATGTCATGCTTCTTAATATGATATTTATACATAATGCATGACATAAAAATATTAAATTTTCAGTAATCGATCCCAGTTAAATTGCAAATATCAATTTCTTGGAAGTCTTTTTTAATTTTACCAAATTCGTGCGTGCTCCAATGAAAGAGGCAATGCCTCCTTTACGCAAGTAGTATGAAGCAGCGGTGGAAATTATCTACTATGGAACATAACAGTGGGTAGGAATCTTGCTTTGTATATGAACCTCATGCAAATTATTATAAATTAGTAAACGTTTTCAATGTTACAATTTTATCCGCACATAAAAATTAAAAGTAATATGATTATATGACTAAAAGTATTTAATTGTTCAATTTTATATGAATTAGACAGCTCGAAAGTAATTATACTAATAGGATTCTTAAAGGTAATTTTGTAGGATTACTAAAGTGTAGTATTATGTCCTAAAACTAATAGGATTATAAAGCTAATCGCTAGAATTCCGGTTATGTCCTTTTATTATAAGTTATTATGCTTAATATTATAAGGTTATTTTTGTAAACCGACATTGTATTCATGTTTTTATAATAATATAGATATTAAGTAATACTCCTTTCATTCTAATTTGCACGATGGTATTTGACTAGGAAGATTTTTAAAGTTAATCGTCTAAAATGGCCATAAATATTTGTGTGACTATAATTCATTTCATTATGAATAAATGAATATTTAAAGTTAAACTATTATTAAATATAAAAAAATATTATTGTTTTTAGGAAGCGTGTCACATAAATTGTGACAAAAGAAGTAAAAAAAAAAAGTGTGTTACATAAACCGGGTACGAAAGAAATAATAAAAGATCGAAGGCCATTATTGAATGAAACCATGAGAGTGTCCTTTGGGCGTATAGCAGAAGCAAAGAAAACTATGGGTAAATACAACTACTATATAAATTATGCCCATCACTGCTCTCAACGTATTGGAATTGGAACCAGTTATATTCCCAGTGTTATCACGCTGACTTGGTACTCGCTTCTGTACGTTGGCTTTCTTTTTACTTTATTTCAAGAACGAATGTGCTCTCATTAGCCCTTCCATCATACATGGGTTATTCAATTAGTCTATTTCTAGCAAAAAATGGTTACGACGTTGGCTCTCTGTCCTTCCATTCTATATGGAGTAGTTCAATTGATAATCCAACTTTTATTTGGTATTACTATTATTATAAAAACAACTTGATATACTAATTAAGCTTTCGTTATATATATGAGCGGATACCCTAAAAGGGTCGGACCATATTGAATTATTTTGTATTTTTGCAAGTGTTGTCTCCCTTAAAATATAAATAACTTAATATTATTAAAAAATTTGAAATATATTTTAACTTGATTTAAAAAATAGATTAGGACAATTTTATATTAATAGGAGTAAAAAAAATTATAACATTGTTGTACCAAGTGCTATTGACAGTTGTGTAGAGCTAATTATATGTAATAAATTAGTGATATGGTTAGTTAGTACTTAGAAGGAGTTAGGCGGTTAAGTAGTTAGAATAGTATAAAGTGTACAGTAATCTTCCATATTCTGGTTAAGAAGATATACAGAAAAAGAGCTCAACTGCTCCTTAGCTCTCCTCTGCTTCCTCTTTCTCTTAACTTCCATCGCCATAGCTAGGAGTAGGATCTAGAGTTCATCATGATATCAGAGCTCGAGTTGACAATCTACATCACTTGATTTCAACTCTAGATTCATCATCCTTAATTCTCTCTGTTAGTCACTCATTTGAAATGAGCAATTGCTTCGATTCCCTAAAGTTAGGGCTAGATCGATTTTGAGCAATTGATATCGATTGTGTACAGCATTTGTGTGAGCTAGATTTTCATTGATATTGGTAATTGCTGACGAGGACAATGGATCAACTCAGGAAGCTGGAGTTGTAGCACCAGTGATCGATCAACATCATCCGTTGTTTCTGCAACCTAGTGACACTTCAGGTAGCTCTCTCATCTTTGTTAAACTCACAGGACCTAAGAATTACACTTTGTGGAGTAGTACTATACGAATTAGTCTGCTAGGAAAAAGTAAGCTAGGGTTTATAGACGGAAGGTATCCAAAAGAGAAGTTTCCTCCTGTTCTTCATGAACTTTGGGAAAAATGTAATTCTATAGTCCTATCGTGGATTATGAATTCTGTGAGTGCTGAATTGTTGAGTGGCATGGTTTATGCTTCGAGTGCTCACACAGTGTGGATGGATCTCAAAAAGACATTTGACAAAGTTAATAGTTCTAGAGTGTTATATCTGCATAAACAAATTGCAACTCTGACTCAAGGACTTTCATCTGTGTCTGCTTATTTCTCAAAATTGAAGGAGTTGTGGGCAGAGTTTGATGCTCTTATGTCGTGCCCTGGGTGTGGTTGTGAAGAGTCAAAAAAATATATTAAGCATTTTGAGTACTAAAAGCTATTACAGTTTCTCATGGGCCTAAATGAGACATATTCTTGGTCAAGCAATCAGATCTTGAACATGTCTCCTAGACCTTCCATAAACAAAGCTTACTCAATGATTATGTCTTAAGAAAGTAGAAGAGCAATGTCCCATTCCTCTCAAGTATATGAAATCAATGAAGGCACAACTTTGTTCAATAATAAAGGAACATCCTCTGGAGCTCCAGTTCAGCTGAATGCCAAAGGAAACCTTGGGCAAAGTCACAACTTCTTGGGAAATGAGGTGACAGGTCTGTTCAGTAGCAAAGGGAATGCAGGTGCTGGCTATGGTCATTCTGGAGGTGGTAATTACTCAGCTTCTAGATATAGACCGAGAAAAAACAATCTACACTGTGTTATTGCAACTTCAAAGGTCACACTAGGGAAACTTGTTACAAATTGAATGGATATCCACCAAATTGTAAGTCAAAGAAGAAGGGTGGATTTGGTAATATAGTTAACTATGCTCAAACCAATATTGGCAACTATATGATTGATTTTCCCACAAGCAAGTCAGAACTTCCAAGCTGGGATCCCTCAATTCACTCAAGAGTAATACAACCAGATTCTTTCAACTTCTAGGCAAACAACCTGAGTGCAGTGGTTCTGCTATGGTAGCAGATATGCCATTATGTGGTGACATTACTAAAATTCTGGCTAAATGGATTGTAGACTCAGGGGCTTCAAGTCACATGGTGAATGATTCTAGCTTGTTGACTAATGCTAAAACTGTTGGTGACAAAGGTGGAAAAGTTCACTTACCTACTGGTAGTGTAGCTCATGTTAGTCACATAGGTTTTGCTTTCATTCTTAAGGACCTAATAGTGTCTAATGTGATGTATATTCCTGACTTCAAATATAACCTTCTATCTGTGTCCAAGCTCGCAATAGAAATGAGATAGGTTGTTATGTTCTTCCATAATTTTTTCATTTTCCAGGAGCTCTACAGTGGACAGGTGAGGGGTATTGGTAGAGAGGAAGATGGACTGTATGTGTTCAACTCTACTTCAAAGAAGTCAGTAGCACTACAAGCTCAAAGTCCAAGTTCAGTTGCAGAAACCTTGAATGTTCCAAGGCTAATACACACTGTAAATATAATAAAGGCTCATAATAAGGTAGTGCATGTAGCTTTGTGGCATAAGAGATTTGGTCATGCACCTCTAGATACTTTGAAGAAACTGAATGGCTTTCATGATTTTCAAGCTGTTGAATGTAGTAGTAAAGACTTGTACAGTATGCCTTTTAGCTAAGCAGACAAGATTCTTTTCCTCTTAGTACTACATTGTCTAAATCATTCTTTCATACAATTCATATTGATCTTTGGGGCCCTTATAAAGTTCCTACATATGATGGAAAGAGGTATTTCTTGGCCTTGTCGGATGACTGTTCTAGGTATACATGGCTCTTTATTTTACCTACTAAAGCTGAGGTTGTTGTTGTTCTTAGATATTTCTTTGCTATGATTAAGAATGTCCACTCAACCTCTGTTAAGTTTTTTAGATCTGATAATGGGTGTGAGTTCTTCAACTCCCATATGTCTGAATTGTTACAATCTCTGGGAATTATACATCAGAGCTCATGCATCTACACTCTACAGCAAAATGGAGTTGCCGAAAGAAGACACAGGTACATTTTGGAGGTTGCTAGAGCACTCAGATTTCAGGCTTCAGTACCATTAAGGTTCTGGGGGGAATGTGTCAATACTGTTGTATACATCATTAACAGACTCCCTTCAACTATCCTTCACAAAAAATCTCCTTTTGAGATCATTTTTGGTCATTCACCTTCTTTGCAGCACATGAGAGTCTTTGGATGCTTGGGGTATGTGGCTACAGTTCGAAGACCTGATAAGTTTGCTCCCAGAGCATATCCTACAGTCTTTCTTGGTTACTCTACTACACAGAAAGGATATAGAATGTTTGGACTTCACACAAAAGATTTCCATATTAGCAGGGATGTAGTGTTTAAGGAAGATGTATTTCTTTTTCAGCACATAAGTCCTACCAGCTCAACCTTATTTCCTGTTCTGGATCTCGCCACTATTTTATCAGTTGCTCCTATATATTCTTCTTGGTCTGTACCTGCTCAATCCATACCTTCTTTCTTTCCCGTCTCTCCCGCATCTTCTGATTCAGCTAGACCTTCTATTCCTTTTTCACTTGCTAATGGTCTTACTGATCATGTCCTAATCAATGATTCCCCTATCATAGCTCCTAGTGTTGAGTCATAAGATGACACCAGAAAGTTCAATAGGGTGATCAAACCACCTATATGGATGAAAGACTATATTGTTCCTAGCAAAGGGAATGCACATTGTTGTTATCATATATCAGACTGTGTCAGCTATGCCAATGTGTCACCTTCCTTTGGAGCTGCAGTAGCTACTTACTCAGCTATTGTGGAACCTAAAACTTATAATAAGGCAGTCAAATATGCAAAGTGGATTGAGGCAATGAAGTGTGAAATATCAGCTTTGGAGGACAATCACACCTGGACAGTGGTGGATCTCCCTCCTAGTAAAGTTCCTATTGGATGTAAATGGGTATTCAAGATCAAATACATCTCCTCAAATGCAGTAGAAAGGTACAAGGCTCGGCTTATAGCAAAAGAATATAGCCAGTAGGAGGGGTTGGACTACACTGTCTCTCTTATAGCCAAAATGGTTACAGTCAGGTCAGTTCTAGCCATGTTGCAGCTAAGCATTGGGCCATCTTTCAAATGGACGTACACAATGCTTTTCTCTAAAGAGACTTACTGGAAGAAGTTTACATGAAAATTCCTCCAGGGTTTGCTAGCCAAGGGGGAAGCACAGTGTCTACAAACTTCATAAGTCCTTATATGAGCTTAAGTAAGCTCATAGGCAATGGAATAAAAAGCTAACAGATGTTTTACTACAGCTTGGATTCATTCAGATTCACTTTGAATATTCATTGTTCACTAGGAAGGTGGAGTCTGAGTTAATAGTGGTGTTTGTGTATGTGGATGACTTGCTTGTAACTGGAAGTAGCCAAAGGTTGATTCTTCATACCAGAAATGATTTGAAGCTCAAGTTCAAAATGAAAGACTTATATGAACTCAAGTTCTTCCTTGGATTTGAGTTTGCTAGATCATCTAAGGAGATAGTAATAAGTCAAAGAATGTATGCTTTGGAACTCATTGAAGAGATGGGGCTCAGTGGTTCAAAACCAGCTGGTACACCTGTGGAAACAAATGTAAAACTCACATCTGAAGAATATGACAAGTTTGTTCATAGTCAATCTTCTTCTGAAACAGAAGACAAACAACTAACTGATGATGGAAAATACTAAAGACGGATAGGCAGGTTACTCTACCTTACAATGACTAGAGTTGACACTGCTTATGTAGTGCAAGTTCTTAGCCAATACATGCACAAACCAAAGCAGTCATACATGCAATCTGCATTACGAGTGGTAAAATATATCAAAGGTTCTCTAGGACTTGGTCTTCTAATGCCATCTGTAGACTCAGAAAAACTAGAAGGTTTTGTGACTTAGAATGGAGAGGATGTCTGCAAATCATAAGATCAGTTACAGGTTACCTGGTGAAGTTTGGGGATGCACTGATTTCATGAAAGTCAAAGAAACAAGAAACTGTAGCTAGAAGCTTTGCAGAGGCAGAGTTCAGGAGCATGGCTTCAGTAGTTGCTAAACTTACCTTGCTTATAGGGCTATTAAAGGAGTTAGGTGTGGAGATTGAGTTACCTATAACTCTTAACTGTGACAGTAAAGCTGCTATCCAAATAGCAGCCAATCCTATAAAACATATAGACATTAATTGCCATTTTGTGCGCGAGAAGATAGTACAAGGCCCGATCAAAACACATCATATGTCCACCAAAGAGCAGCAGGCTGATCTCCTAGCAAAGAGCCTGGGTCGAGTGCAGCATGACTACTTAATGTCCAAGCTAAGGCTGAAAGATATCTTTCAAATCAGTTTGAGGAGGGGTGTTGAACCAAGTGCTATTGACAGCTATGTACAACTAATTATATGTAATAAATTAGTAATGTGGTTAGTTAGTTGTTAGAAGGAGTTAGGCGGTTAAGTAGTTAGAATAGTATAAAGTGTACAGTACTCTTTCATGTTCTGGTTAAGAAGATATACGGAAAAAGAGCTCAACTGCTCCTTAGCTCTCCTCTGCTTCCTCTTTCTCTTAACTTCCATTACCATAGCTAGGAGTAGGATCTAGAGTTCATCAAATATCATTGTAAAAAGGTTAAATAGTAACCCCCTCTCCCATGCCTCTTATCCCCATCTACCCCATCCCTTCTCCTCTCTTACCCTTACCTTATCTGTGGTGGTCATCCGGCGACCACGCCATTAGTAACCACTTCCGGCGACCCATTTCTGCCCCCTTTTCTTCTTCTTTTAGTTGTCAGCCTGCACACTCCCGGATGTTTATTTTTATACCGCTCGTCTTGTTTCTCTTCTTTTGTCCCTTTTTTCATCCATTTCTCTATTTTTTCACTTCTTTCCCTTGCTACTGTCAGGGCTACACCAGTGGTATCGGTGATAGCCCCCCTTTTGATACCCGGTATTTTTGTGTTTTTCAGGGAATTTCTCGGAGCTGTTGGAGACAAGTTAGGTGCATGCGCACAAGCAAAGGAGAGCAACCTAGGCGAGTGTCAACAAAGGGGTGGCGGGATGCTGAACGTGAGCATGCAATAACATCGAGTACATCAAATCAATCACAGGTTCTGGTCTCGGGAGTTGGTACCTCCCGTTTTATTATTTCCCTCTTGGTGTTAGTTAAATTGATGTTATTTTAGTTCGCACTAGTTTAATCATACAACTAGTGTGCTAGTAGTTACTTGTGTCCTTCTAGTTTGGTTCATTGTTCGTGGTATGCTAAAAAGTCTTCTTTAGCTTGTCGTGAGTGTAGTGCCTGTAGTCTGGGATGATAGAGTAACGGCATGTCCTCGGGTGGGGAAAAGGGTGGGGTGAGGGGTCA